ACAAGGTCTATGTATTCTCTGTTGTATCTAGAAGGGGTTGTGTAAAACCTTATTTTCCCTTAGCGGGAGGGAAATTACCACTTCAGGTAGTTCAGATTTTTCACTGGATACCATAATTTATATTTAGAAGGGGCAATCTCTTAACAGAATACTCTCAGTGAACAGCTAGTACACAGTAACATTTTATATCATTACAGCTGTCTTCAAAGTGATTTTATGACTCAGCCTTAGTTTGATACCAAGACTAGAAGCTTAAATTGTGTTCAATTTTTCTCCCTTCATACTTCAAAAAATGTTTTCTTCAGAAATAAATGACCTATATCTTAATCTCTTGATTTACGTAATTCTTGAAAATGTGTAAAATTCTAATAAATAATTGCTCTCTTTCAAGAAAATCAATTCCTCTCCAGTGGAATATGTAAAAATCAAGTTTCTTTCTAAACATTTAGGTGTTGATTTGGTAGGTTTTGAATGTTCTACTGTGAAAAAATCAACTGAACTACATTTTTCTTCCAATACAAAATAGCTTCATATTGGTGAATGTAGTTGAATCATTATTATTATTCAGCTAGTCTGTGTCACATGTGCAAAGATATCTTCCAAGAAAGCACCTTTGCCTTCCCAAATTCTCAAGCAAAAGCAGTTGTTACCTTGAAAACTACTCTTAAATTAGGATAGTGGAAATTTGACATGATGACAGATTTACGAGAGAAACATTTACAATGTACTTACTCACAGATTTGCAGTATTCCCACTGAAATTGTGCGAAGGGCATTTTTTTTTTCTAAGAATATGGAAATCTTCAAGCTGGAGAGAGGATTATTAGAAGCAACCGCTTGGACGCCACTGTAGAGAGTGGTGCCTTTTATGCCAGATGTGTCATTGCAGTGAAATATGAGAGAAGATGAACTACATCTAAAAAATGGTTGTTGGTGTCTCTAAGATCCTAGCTGTCAATTAAGTGCTCTTGATACTATTGTGAGCTACAGTAACGGCTCTACACGATATCTCTGTGTTGGTATTGTTTAGTCACGTAGAGGGTGTGCAAGGGATGATAGCTACATCTATGCTTTCAAATCAATCATGGTGTTTGTACATGAAACTAAGAAAGAAGTCTGCCTAGTTCACCAGTTTATTTTAAGAACATGTGGGAACCTAACTGTATTAACAGTTTTTGAAGTTGTAGAGGAAGCAGAACAATAACAATCTCAGGCATAACACTTCCAAACTTTTCTTGTGCTCTGTCACAAACATTGGACCTCCATATTGTCAGTATTTCCATTTTCTGAAGAATGCAGCAGATAGGGTGTGCAATTGCGTAGCTCATCAAGTAACCTTTTCGTCAAAAGGCTGAAGGGCATTGTGAAAAGGCTAAAATTCATCCTTAGATTTTGTAATACTCTTTAGAGTGATACAACATGATGACTCCTTTACCTGATTAAACTATTTTTCCCTTTTCCCTCCACTCCTATCTGTTTCTTTGGTGTAACCTCCATGAATGCTTTTATAGTAACATAAGAATGTCGGATGAAACTTTATATTTTAAGGCTGAAGTTCTCTCTGTAAAGTTAGCATAAGGAAAAGCAGATTCTGTAAGTGTATGCATAATTATCTTCTAATTCACAAGAAAGACATGGGTTCATGAAACAGGTCAAAAATGCCTTTGGTATTCTGTTCATTCACTTTGACCCTTCTGGCTTCTTTTCAAACTGTTGCTTGGTTGAGCTTTGGCTCCTTTGCCCTCAGTTTTTCAGATATTACTGGAATTCTTGGAGATTTCTCTTCAAGGACACAAAGTGGTGACTTTTCCTTGTGTTGGTCCAGAAATCAGCTATGATCTTGGTATTGACTTCCAGCGATGCTGGAAGCTTGGCTTCCCACTTTTTACTGCCTGAGCTTTGTACTATTTCTTTGGTTTGGGATGTTGTTTCTTTGTTTTCTTATGGTTCTGGACACTTTCTGTGTTTTCCCACTCTCCTTTTCTAATTCATTATTCTTGAATTTTTTTTATTTCTCAGGTGTTTTAGCTCTTCTTTAAAGTGCTCTCTTTTTTTTCTGTTTTTTTTTCAAAAATCTTCAAGCAGCTTTTTTTGTATATTCCATTTAGAGTGCAGTGTGAAATAGAAATTAAGTGAGATCATAGGGGCTTTGCCTTTTACAAATACTTCAATAAACATTAAATTGTGAAAGAATGATCCCATGATTAAAACTGAAAATTCAGTTTCATATTTAGTATCCTTGGAGTGGGGGCACTAGCTGATCTGTACAATGCCTAAGAACTGCGTTCATCTTTTTTAGCTCCTTTGGGTCTGCTACTGGATGTGCGTATTGTTCAGGGAGACGAACCTCCTTATTCTATGCTCTTATATGCAGGACAGGTACAAGTGGCACTTTCTGACCTTAAGTTTATGAATTTGAGTTACCAACTGCTGTGTGTATTTTCTTTTTAAAGACATTGTAGCATACACGTCAGCTTCAGGAAAAGACAGGCTAACATTGCCTTAAACTGTAGTCCACTTTGACCAGCCGAGAGCCTTTGTCTGATGCCTACCTTTAAAATTCATAGAATCCTAGAATCATAAAATGGTTTGGGTTGGAAGGGACCTTTAAAGCTGATCTAGTCCAATGCCCCTGCAATGAGCAGGGACATCTTCAACTAGATCAGGTTGCTCAGAGCCCCATCCAGCCTGACCTTGAATGTTTCCAGGGACAGGGCATCTACCACTTCTCTGGGCAACCCGTTCCAGTGTTTCACCACCCTCATTGTAAAAAATTTCTTCCTTATATCTAGTCTAAATCTACTCTCTTTTAGTTTAAAACCATTACCCCTTGTCCTATCACAACAGGCCCTCCTAAAAAGTCTGTCCCCATCTTTCTTATAAGCCCCCTTTAAGTACTGAAAGGCTGCAATAAGGTCTCCCCAGAGCTTTCCAATCTCCAGGCTGAACAACCCCAACTCTTTCAGCCTCTCTTCATAGGAGTGTTCCATCCCTCTGATCACTTTTGTGGCCCTCCTCTGGATCCTCTCCAACAGGTCCATGTCTTTCCTGTGCTGAGGGCTCCAGAGCTGGATGCAGTGCTCCAGGTGGGGTCTTGCCAGAGTGGAGTAGAGTGGCAAAACCACCTCCTCACTATGCACCTCTCACATCTTAGTGTATAGTGATACTTCCACACTCACAATGAAGATGGAATATTTTTACTTGCCCTGAGTCAGTCTCTCTAACTGTCAAGATAAATTAAGGAGAACTCTTACCACAAAAAAGGCTTAGAGTTCTTACTTTTCAACAGGAATTCTTAGAGGGTTAGCCATGTAGGTAAAAAAACCATATTGCTCTGCAACTCTTCACCCGAGAATTGCAAAGTAAAGTTGTACAAATGTGATGGTCTTTCTTTTTTAATAGTCTTTATGAATGAATTGACTTAAAAAACTGGCAAAAAGTATCAGATCTTGGAAATGACTGATTTATGCTGAATCTTTTGCTTTTACGTGGTAAAAACATTGCTGTGTTGTCTTTAGTGTAAAGTACGGTTTAACTGAAGTAGAAGTAAGATGCCATTAATAATTAGAGATATTTTGAAGCCACTTGCAAATTACAGACTTTTTGTCTTTATATTGACAGTCAGCCTGAGAGGTTAGGTGAACTTAAAGCAAGTTTCACTTAAAATTTACTTTTAAACTTCACTGATCAATTGCCATATCTGTGAAGTTAGTTTTGGTTTGGAAACACATAGCATATTTCCTCATAGATTTGTAGATTTATTTTTTTTTAAGTTTGTCCAAATTATAATAAATATCCATAGAGAAGGCTGGAAGAAAGGAAGTTGCTTTCAAAAAAAAAAAAAAGCCTATATGCCTCTTTTCTCTCCACAGATTTGTTCTTTGTTTACTAGAACTGTAACTGTCCCAATTACTTTCAATTTTGGCTCACCCTTTAGTCTCTGAGCAGAGAAGACTTTAATAGGTTAATGCCTTGTTTTCCATCAAAAGACTTGAAGAAAATTCAATTACCTGTTAACTGGGCTAAAAAGAGGCCAGTATACATGTCCCAGTTGGTAGTTCACTCCTTGTTCATTTAAGAACTCCTGTCATTCTCCTCGGAAATACCTAATGCATGTCACTTATTCCCACCACTCTCATCAGCCTTCTTTCATTTACGTTGGTGCAGACAGGCAGAATAATTAAATAACATAAGCTGAAGTGCTAATAATACTACAATGTTCAAGGTAACCTATTCCAGGAGTGACCGTCTTGACTTTTTCTGACTGTGGTTCTTTACCTTAGGTGCTGACCTAAAAATATTATGCTTTCAAGGTGCAAGTATTAGCTAAATACTTGCCATTTCATCTTTGTATCTTCATGAGATTTTTGAAAACTAATAAAAAATCATAAAAACACTTTGCACATTAAAAAAGTCATTTTTAGGACCAATTGTAATTTGAAAATCTCATCAGAAGTTTCTGGGTTTTGAATCTTTGATCTTCAGGATGGCTCCTTTCTTTTTCTCTTGTTCTTACTCTCTTCTCTCTTCCCTTCTTCTCCCTGTCTTTTTTCTTTGCTATTAGTTACAAAAGGAGAGCAATAAGGTATTTGCCCACTTTTAATCAGAAAAGTGATTAAAATATTTTCATTGTCATTTCTCATTATTTTAACAATAAAAGCTTTTAAAAAAAATTTAAAAAAAAAAAGAAAAAAAGAAAACGCCTGCCAGGTTTTGTTCTGGTATCTGTTATGGTGCTTTCTGATATGTGGAGCCACTAGTGATGCTTGTTTGCTGTTTTAAAGAGAGGAAGAAGTGACTTGTGTAAATTTCTCAGGAGACTGTGATCATTTGATTTCCAATTTATTCCAAATGAAGAATATGCTAATTAAAACAATTGTAATATTGTTTCTGCAATTATTTGTTAATTATGATTGACTTAATGAACTACTTCTGCATACTCCATTCTCCTGAGCGTGTTTGGTAGGTTAGACAATTTGCCAGAGCAGAACTTCATCAAAGAAAACACTGGAAGAATCAGTGTTATTTCAAAGCAAGTTGATCCTGAACCCCCACAGGTCTGTATAGCAGCAACAGTGGGCTTGAGGCAATGCAAGGAATTGTTTTTTTCAGCAACATAATGTATACCAATGTTGATTTTTCTACAGCCGTCAATTTAGTTGAAATATGCAGTTGTCTTACAGTCCCTTTGAAACATGAAATATTGGAACAATTCAATTCTTCTACATGACCTCTAAGCAGAAGTAAAAATAGCAAAACAGTAATAATGGGGCATTACCAGCACATGAAAGACAGGAATCAATTATTTGATGACTTTGAAGGTTTATTAAGAAAGAATTTGTATGCTACAAATTGCCTTAAAAGTAACAGTGAGAACCAAAGCACGTAACATGCTCAGTGCAATGGACCAACAAGGTGACTTTTGTAGAAGAGTTCTTGAATGGGTCAAGATCAGAGGGCCTGAAGTTTAATAGATACAAGACAATGGTTTGGGTAGCAATTTTTAGCTGGGCAGGTAGAGGCTACATTTTAGAAATACTCTGCAGGAAGAAGTGTTGAGGCTTAAACACAATACGAATGTGTTAATCTATGGAAGTAAGAGATAACTTAGCACGCAAGCTACAGAACAATGCATGTGAGAAAACAGTAGGTCTGCTCTTTCCTACTTTGTTTGTATGTCTGACTGATGAAGAACTTAGCCACTCTGTCAGTTTTAATGATTTTTCTTTTCTTTGTGGGTAAGAAGGGGAAAGAAGGAGAGAGTGGAGAGGGAGTGTGTGCAAGGAAGCTGAGTCCAAGAGCTCAGAGCTTTTTTCTGTAGTGACTGAAAACAAGTATTCCAGAAGGGACAGTTTGAAGCAGGCCACTCCCACCAAAATTAATATATACTTGCTGAGAGTGAGTCCCTTTCCAAAACAGAAACAACAGAAAGAGATATCCTAAAAGCTCAAAGGAGAAGTGTGAACACTTTAACTTTTGACTCTGCCATCCAATACTGAGGAAGTGTTTGAAATCATCGTTTGGGAGATACTTCTATTATGAAAAATACTGAGGTTTGGAAGTTTGTTGTCATGTGAAATGAAAGAGCAACATTTTTCCAAGTTTTCAGTGAGAAATGCTGAGTGAAATGTAGCACATTCTTTCACCTTACCCACGCAAACCTTACAGTCAGGAATCACACCATGAATGGAAAGAACCATCTACTTCCTGACTGACCACACTGATCAGAACTAGAAGAATGGGGGACTGTTATACCTGAAAGGCAAATGGTGGCTTAGATACCTTCATAGACAGTATTCAATATGCACAAAATTCTGGTGTGGCCAATAGACAAATGCATTGCTGTGAACAGAACTTCATTGTTTGTTGTTTACAGTTCAAAGGAAGTCCAAGTATCTCCAATGGACTTCCCCCTAGAGGAAGGTCCTAATGATTCACTGGATTAGGAATAAAATGATGGGTCCAAGGAGGTCCAATAGATTATGACCTATCCAATGAAAAAAAATTGCCATCTCTGTGATTTCCATTCTCAGTTCCCCTGATCTTTGAAGGAGGCAGGTGAGCTTACCGAATTGTTTCAATGTAAGTCTTCTAACTGTTGGTTCATTCCACAAAGATTTTGAAGGGATTCTTCTAAAGAAGAATAAAAAACTTAGGCAATGGTGATCCCCTAATTATTTTTCTGCATTCATACAAGCATCCACTTCATAGTAGCCTGTCTGAATAGCCATCATGACTGTACAAAGCTTTTAGGAAATCTGTACTACTTTTTTGCCTCTCCCCTATGCCTGCCCTGTTAGATATACAGTCCTCCTTTAAAAATGCTATAATTTTAAACTGTTGTATATTACAGTTCATAAATATGGATTATTCCATGCAATTTTTGAGCTTTCCTAGTTGCAATTCCCTGCCCTTTGTCAGAGTTCTCTCTCTTGAGAATCCATTATGGCAAGAAGTGAAATCTTCCTCAGCTTCATCTGATGTTTCCAGTTGAAAATGGGAATCCCTAGCTATGAGATCGGTGAATCAAGACAGACTTCACATCTCTGTCTGCAGGAGGTATGTGTTCATATATCAGCTCACCTGGTATTTGCATGGGAATTCCCTGTTGATGCAGATTCTGCCCATCCGTGTATCTACAAAACAGGATGACAGTGGTTTGTTCCTTCCTCACCTGTTCCTCAGGTGAAATGTAAGCACACTTGCTTAAACAGCTGAAATACACGTATGGTAGGAAGATCAGATCTGGCTGATCTAAGTCCTTAGTTCACAGGTAAATGTAATTATTGATGTCTTTTCATCAGTCTTCCTCATACTGAGTGAAACATAAGTAAATTAGAGCAGAATGAAGTAATGATAACATTCTAGGCCTGTCTTACTTGAGATATTTGTGGTTTAAGGACCTGATGAATTTGTTATAACCTATATTGAAGCATTTATTTCCTCTGACACTGTAGATAAGAACTACTTATTCTTGAAAATAAGTTGCTTTCTAAATCCAAAGTATCTCATTACAGAGTAAGGAAGTTTTGTGTACTTATTAAAGATGTACCAACAATTGGATGGAGCTCTCTGTTGGGGAAGAGTTTTCTACAACCTGTTAATCCTGATATTCTGATCAGGGTGTTACCTGAACAGAATCTGGTCTGTCGATTATGGGCCTATAATGGGACAATTCCCACCAATATTAGTGTAGTTTCTGATTGCTTAGACTCACATCCTGTTTTCCTGTTCCTAGACTCTTAAATTATTTTATTCATGTGTTTCTACCAGGCTGGAGGATGTCTTTGAAAGCTTTTAGCTTGGTAAATTAGTCCTCTTCAGACCATACTAATATTTACTGTCATCAGGCACATTATTTCACCTAAGAAAATGGTATTCTCAGTAGGTGTAACATGTTTGAAAAGCAGAACTATTTGGTGCCTTAAGGGTGTATCCACCTGATATGTTTCAGAGAGGAAGGATGACCCCTACATTGCAGAGAAGTATCATCCTTTCATAAATGTCAGAATTCTGTGGAAGTGACTGAAGATGTTACCAGCACCTCTTTGCCATTGCACTTCTTTCATAGGTGGCCACCCCCAGATCTGGCTTCAGCTGAAGGGTTTCTGTGAGTGCTTTCTAATCCATCTCAAGCAAAATAAGCCAGGTGAACTTAACTGCTCTACCCAAACTGGCACAGCTGATTTGTGCTAAGCAGATCAGAGGCCATTCTTACAAACAGCTGTCAGTAGAGCTATTGAATAATACCTTCTGGCTGAAGAGCAGCAGGGTGGGTGATAATGTTTTCTGTTGCCACAGCTATTCACTAAAGGAAACTCTGTCCTCTGACTTTCATGTGATCCTAACAGAAGGTAAATCATTCAGGATTTCTACATGTAGCACTTATGTTGCATGAATTTTCCACCAGTTATGTAAGTAGGGCTTTAATTGGATTAAACTGTGCCTCTCTGTATCAAACTCTGTAGTTCAGAAACATGGATGGCAAACCCTCTGTTTCTAACAAAAAGAACTGACCTATGTTTGGAAATGTCAAGGGGTATCTCTGTGGGAGCTTGTGACCAGCAATTAGTTGATGATTCACACAGTTTTTCATAATCATATTTTTTTATTCACATAAGTATACAAAGCAGTCAGAGAAAAGTATTTAAATGAACTTTTCTTACCTATATGTTCTTTTTTAAGACAAGGAGAAAGTTTCTGTAAGTTTTGCTCCTGCAAATAGCCTAAAAGAGGCTGGCTTGCAACTTTTGCATCAGGCAGTTGCAGATTAATCATTTCTCTTCCCTTTTTTCAACTGGTCCTTTTAGCTCCTTATGTACTTTTTTCTCTGTGTTAGTAAGAGAGCTTAGTAAAGTGTCATTTGTGCTGGAGCCTGAAAGTTGATAATTGTCTTCCAAGTTCATTCCCTGCTTTTCCATGTCTGAACTATTGTAGTCTAATGCTTGTTTTTCCTATAACTAAATCTGAAATTGAACTAGTGCTTTTCTGCATCCTAGTAGCTTAATAAAGCTACATATTGACTCTCTTAGTGGTCATAGTCAATTCATAGCAGGTTAATTCCATGTTCCTAATGCACATAAGTTTCCAAAATATCTTGAGCTGATCATAGAATGGCTTGGGCTGGAAGGGACCTTAAAGATCATCTAACTCCAGCCCCCCTGCCATGGGCAGGGACACCACCAAGTAGACCAGGTTGCTCAGGGCCCCGTCCAACCTGACCTTGAACACTGCCAGGGACAGGGCGTCCACAACCTCTCTGGGCAACCTGTTCCAGTGCCTCACCACCCTCTGAGTAAAGAATTTTTCCCTAACATCAAATCTAAATTTCCCCTCTTTCAGTTTTAAACCGTTCCCCCTTGTCCGATCGCTATCTGCCCTTAAAAAGAGTCTCTCCGCCTTTTTTATATAAGCCTCCTTTAAGTATTGGAAGGCTACTATAAGGTCTCCCCTGATACCTGGGGTCAGCCAACCTTTCATGCTCTGTGCCACTCAGGTGATCTGGCTTCTTAACCTGATGGCTAGTTTGGTAGAAGTATCCAACAAGCATTACTTAAAATGCTGACAAGTTTTCAGTTCCTATCTAAGGTAAGTGTATCTGAGTCATCTGAAGTGGGGTATATGCACAGAATCGCTTCAAGGAATTATTTATTCTACAGTAACGGATTCGTTGAGATGTATTGTCTACATGGGTATCACCATCAGTACTCCTTGTCTGCTACCATTTGACCTCTAAGAAACAGTTCAAGTGCCTAAACAGAGGTGTCTAGACCAATTCGGACACTCCAGATACCCTTTCTGGCCTCTAGCTACTTTCCCAGAAAGACCCAGGTTTCCAGTAAGTTGTGTGTCATGTCTGTCAGCCCTTGCAGTCACCTTGGATACCTTACTGTTTCTAAAACGGCCATATATGTCTGTGTTTAGTCACCTGAATCTCTTCCCTTCTTTTCACAGAATCTGCTTTTAAGCACCCTGCATGTGATGTTACTTTTTAAAGTAACTATGGGTATTTGTGAAATGTAAACATCTTTTAGAGAATGTCAATCTGCATAGAAAATTAATATTCTTAGCTAAATTCTTTTGCACATAATCATTTAGATTGATTTTTTTTTAAAAGATCATTTATGTTTTGTAAATACTTTTCAAAAGAGTTTATATGGTTGTCCTTTCACATTTGCAACCCCCAAATAAATCATTAGGGGAAAATGAATATACAGAATCTACTTTTTATTCTTTCACTTTCCCCACCCAGTATTTACAACAAAAAAGATGTAGTGAGTTGCAAGCTTGCTAAAAGACCATGATTTTTAGTGATTAGTTTCAAAACAGCTATATATAAGTAATTATATAAAATTTCAGTAAGTGTTCCACATAGAGTTGAAAAACTTTGCAATTCTGGATGAAATCTTCCATGACTGCATGTATCTACATCTAGAACTGGACTGTAATCCTACAGCCAGAGGTATTTTCTAGATATTTTTAATATTTATACATTTTCTGTCCTTACAGCTTTGT